GTCTCTATCTCGAATAGGTATGACCTATCGAGGCCTAGTCCAACTTGTACCGCCAGGTCCTCGTCTATGATGACAGCCTCACTGCCGTTATCAATGACAACATCGAGAACCGCTCCATCGTTTATAATCGTCTCCACGGCTCCGCTACCAAGTGTATAAAACTTGTCTGGAGGCACACCTTCCATTCCATCGAGAAGGACGGACGCCATGCGATCCGCTCTGGCAGTCACCCCCGTTACTGCTACTGTAGAASCTTCCGCCTTAGAGGCTCCCTGATCGTTCTCTGATAGAGGTATGCGAGTCTTCCGCGTGATCATCTGTAATTCATCACCAGCCGGCTTCGATGCCGCCAGGTACTCCAGAATAGAGCACTGCATGGGTTGCCGAAGGGCCCGCCTCAATGGCTCGACCGTGTCAATGGCTCGACCGTGTCAATCTCGTCTAGCGAGCTCTTCATTAAGAACTTCTTCACTCCCCGCTTTCGCGGCGAAAGGATAACCTCCTCTCCATCGACCCGCTGCCCGTCCTTCTCTGCCATCACATAATCCGTGTCCGTTTTCTTCGATGTAGACCCTCTCGCCGACTTGGTGGCTGCCACCCTTATGGGTGTGGTCGCCATGTCCCCCTCAAAGGTTATCTTGATGCTCTGGCCCCTGAACGGCTCCATTCCTTTACTCGTTTTTATTCTTCTTGCTTCGACATTCGCCTTCATCGAAGGGAACATCGATACATCTCCGAGATCATCAGCCCACTTGACGTACTTGCGGTCGTCAAGCACGACAAGTCCCTCTTTTATTGCCCGTTTAAGGTCCGCGCAATCCCTCTTGATATGATCTTCTCCTCTACAATAGACGCATGAGTTCCTGGGAGTAGACGCACTGTCGTTTGCGCCTCTAGACATCGATTTCCTGGCCGCGTTGGGGTCAGGCGACTTTGGATATGGTTCTGATGAGACACCATATCCCCCTCTCTCATTTCGACTGCGCGAATCATTGCGCCGGTCTCCTCCAGACCCTCCTTGCTCATACTGCTCTCGGGAGTCATTCCACCAGTCCCTCGAGTCATAGTGTCCTCGTGACTCATCGCGTCGGTCCCCTCGGTTGTACCATCCTCGTGTCCCATCACGCTGCTCTCTCGCTTCTCCCCCGCGCTCAAACCGTCCACTTGACCCTTCTTGTCGTTCCCAGTCCCTGTCTCCTCTCTCATATCTACTCCCCCAGTCCCTATCTCCTCTCTCATATCTACTCCCTCTGTAGCCATCTCGACCCGACCTCTCATATCTGTCGTCCCTATATCCATCCCGGTCCGATCTCTCGTATCTGCCGTCCCTCTCCCATCGGCCGCGGGAGTCGCCTCTACCCCGATCGGCCTCATAGCGACGGCTTCGGGGGTAATCATCTAGCCTCCTAGCTCGCACAAACAGCTCGCGATCT